AATCTGTCCTAGTGAGCTAAACAAAGCACATAGGTAATCAGACAGTGGGTAAAAGGTAGGTGTATGTCTCTGTATTGTAATATTACCTATATCTGTCAAGTTAGAAAACATATCAGTTTTAAATTAATGCTTTTTCTGGATGTCAGCCAATTCCTCTTATAATCTTTTTTCTCTTCTTTTACCATTTCAGTTATTCGGGTGTTTCCTAGCCTGGGAGACACGAAATGTCAGCATCCCTGCTTTGAATGATAGCAAGTACATCGGAATGAGTGTATACAATGTGGGGATAATGTGCATTATTGGTGCTGCTGTTTCATTCCTTACTCGGGACCAACCCAATGTGCAGTTCTGCATCGTTGCTTTAGTAATAATATTCTGCAGCACCATTACTCTCTGCCTTGTGTTTGTACCTAAGGTAGGTGAATTTGTTCAGCATGGGTCTGGATTTTTTCCCTTCTGTTTTGTAATTGTGATTTACTATGTAAAAGTCCATTGCCTTTTCAAGTACAGGGGATGCGTGTGAATTCTGAACCAAGCCCATCTATAATCTCTTGAGATCTTGAGAGGAAGAGCAAAGCTTCATGCAAAAGTGGAATATGTAAAGTTACAGGAATGTGAATACACACGTTCCTAATGCCTATATCTTTACTGAACCTGTGACTGGGGATACAAAGGCTGTTTTCTGTAATTTCAATTGAATAGTTTCCATTTCCAACTTTTAGGAACTTTTGGAAAGGATGGTAAGTAAGCGGAGATTCAGAAGAGACAGGTTCAGCTGTCTACTCTGCCGCGTTTCTTATGTACCCTGAGCAAGATAATCAGGATCTCTGCTTCTATATCTACAAAACAATAAGAACTTTTTAGTTCACTGCCATGCTGTAAGGTCAGCTATGTTGATTTCTCTAAGGTATTCAAGTATGGTAGTACAATAGGTTTCATCAGTACTTCAGAGGAAAACTCTATGTACACTGCAAATGCTGACACTGAAGATACATTTATTAACAGGTATATTAATGGACTACATAAGGCATAGACTGGGAAGCATATGCTTTCGTTTCTTTTTGCTCTTTTGGGCTTTGAGGATGTGTTTGTTGTGTATTGGTGGAAGAACTGAGAAGACACTTAACCACAGAGTGCTAGAACTTCATCATTTCTCTTGCAAAGTTAAGCTTTAGACATGAGTTTGACAGATCTTGAATGAAGGGAAAACTGGTTTCTACATAAGCTTACTTTAGGAAAACCTCAAGTTCCAGAGAATGTATTTGATATTTTGAAGTAAAATCTGTAATTGTATTCATTTTAAGTGACTTGCATAAACCTAGCTTATCACCCCAAATCAGATGTGTATGCAGTTGGATATCTGAATCTGTTTTTAGGTTTTTCAAATGAGCATTGCTAAAAAGTTTGTGACTCTAGTCCATGTTCAATCAATGTATTGAGAAAATTATAGTGAATAAGTTCTAGTGCTAAGTGGCATCCCTGGTGATGGTTCTACCAGGCAGACCCAGAACTATATGTGTAAAGGGAACAAGCTAATAAATGTATCTCAAAGTGTTCCCTCTGAAAGAAATAAGAAGCACAGACTAGCAATAAAAGCTGACTTCTGATGTGCAAAAAAGCAGAGTAATTTGTTCTCCAGGCACAACTAACCAGGTTGTTTTTACAAGTTCTGCAATTCACTTCTCAAATATTAAAAAGTTGTACATTTATAGTCATATTTTTATTCTGGGTCTTGGGGAAGAATCACAATTTCATTCTAAATTAAGGGAACATTCACCAACACAGCAGTGGAGAGTACTTCAAAATCCTGAAGGATTTAAGTGTGTAAGCTGTATGAAAACACGTATTAAAACTCTGATGCCAAAAATACCTCCACAGAATGTCAGAACTCCCTTCAAAGAGAAAACATTATTAATGCTGTGACATGATCTTCTGCCCCTTTGCTTTCATACTCCTTTGCCCATCCCTCTTTGCTGCTGCCACAGCCTTTGAAATGACTTTTCTGTTTCCTTTTTTAACCCCTTCATTTGCTGTTGTAAACCCCAATTACCCTGCTCTCATTTTTCCTCTCAGCACTTTCTACTCAAATTACAAACATGAGCCTTCTAGCGTGAAGTACTTCCTCCCATTCCATGTGTTGTCAGGTTTCCAAATGCTTAGCTATTTTGCATTAAAAAGCATCACTGGATGAGGTAGAAGAAAAGAGGTTGAAGCAGGAACTGGAATGCAGCACTTCCAGTGCCCACGTGAGTGCTTCACAGCTGGAGAGCTCCTCTTCTTGCACTCCTATATTTTGTCCTACGTTTCTTCTCGCCATGCTCTGTCACAGTTACAGGAGGTCGGCTGGCAAGCGCCCTCTCCTGTGACCTGCTCCAGGACAGGTTTCACAATAGCCTTTCTGGACGCCACAGAAGATTAGGCCTGACACCACCCAGTTTGTACACCTAGGTAAGGTGTCAGTGTGAGACAGGCATCAAATCTCTCCCCTTAACAAGTATGTCATCAATTAGTACAATTTTGGTGACACAAGGAGATTGCTGGTGTAATACGAAACCCTGTGGATCATCAAATGTGGGAGATGACAATGAACGCTTGGAAGATTGCAGTTTTCATTTATTAAACTGTGGCCAGGCAGGTGCAAGAAGTAATGTGGTTTTGGGCCAGGTGAGTACTTCTACTTCTCTGCTCTACAGGGTAAAACACATTCCTTTTAACTAATCTTCAGCAGTCTCCTGGGCCAACAGTGCTGGAATTCAGTTTTGTCCCACAGTCCTTTTATGAATCTGAATAGGCAACTATTCAACGATGTAGGCAAATTAGGAAATGAAACATGACATTTTTCCCTTACTTCTTGTCAGCTCTCCTAATCTTACTTAAGTATAACATGGCAATTGCTATACTTCTCCAGGTAAATGTCCACCTCATCCACTGCCATTTCATTCAGCACCAAGTGCCTCAGAGAAACATGAGGAAAATCCCATAGTAGAGTAAGATAGATCAGGGAAAAAATGTTCATTGCTTACTCCATTTAAAAGTATCCTGAAAACAAATGTTGGTCTCCATTATACTGCATCCTATTTAAAGTAACTGTAAACATTCTTGTTATCCCATTAAAAAATATCAGAGAATCATGGAATAGAATAATAAAATCGTTAGGCTGGAAAAGACCTTTAAGATCGTTGAGTCTAACCATTAACCTAGCACTGCCATGTCCAACGCTAAGCAATGTCCTTAAGGGCCACATCTACCCATCTTTTAAATACCCCCAGGGATGGTGACTCCACCACTTCCCTGTGCAGCCTGTTCCAATGCTTGACAGCCCTTTTGGTGAATAATTTTTTCCTAATATCCAGTGTCCAAACATTTTTAAAACTATTATAGATTTCTGGATTCAAGGATATCCTGTAGAAGGGATCTGCAGAATTCAAACATACATGATGTGTATTTTTCCTGTTAAAAGTTAACTGCTATGTCTAATTATCTTTTTAAGGACGAACACGTCTGTAGTGTTTTTCAGCATACTCATCACTTCTTTAAAAGAAGCAATCCTAATATGTATTCTGTCTTCATGAAATAACTTTTCTACATTTATCAAACTTCAATGTCCTTTCACTTTTTCTGCTTCATCCCTCTTGAGATAAAACACTGTGCTCACTTCTAATCATCCACCAAGTGCATACCTTTGTTGGCTGCAATGGCATTAACACGTTAATTCTGGCTCAGTTTCTTGTAGAGCAGCAAAGCAAAATCAGTTCTAGGGGGCCAGGATTAAAACATTAATATTCAGTGTTGGTAGCATTTTTTGTCTATTTGGCAATGACTCTATGTAGATATTCAGCCTTGACTCTGTCAGAATTGAAACTGCATAGATGTGAGGCAACAAGACACAGGTTCCACCAAATTTATGGCCAAAAAAAAAAGTTCATCTTACCTCATCCCTTGTACAATGCAAGCCAACAACATTGTCCATGGACTTTTCCATCTAATCCTAATCCACACCATGTGAATGAATTCACTAAAGCATATGTCCTTGTGGCAAAACATCCAGTTTTTTAGCTATAAACTCCCAGATGAAGATGAGTCAATAGATGGATGATGATACTTCTATCTTATATTCAGTATGAACTTAGACCATATCAAATTGCAGAGCTTTTATCTTGTAACACTTTTGCCTGCTAATTTAAGAAGCCTTGTAATTACTATTCTTCACCTTTAACTTCATTTTAATGCAGTTTTTGGTCTGGGAGTTAGACACTCCAGTCATTACAACCAGCCTAATTAGAATCAAAGATATGAGGCAAGGAAGGGCAGAGGGCTCTAGGAAGACTCAGCTGCAGCAGGTTACTCAGGGGCTTGAGCAGCTGGGTCTTGATTATCTCTAGGAGTGAACACTCCCCAGCCTCTCTGAGCATCTCTACCAGCATTTGACCCTTCCTTACAGGAGAAAAAGATCTTATGTTTACATGAAACTTCCTGTTTTTCAGTTTGTGCCTCCCTTCCTTTCATTGGGCAGTACTGAGAAGAGTCTGACTCTGTCCTCTTTACTCTCCTCCATCACATATTTATGCACATGAATAGCATCACCTGTCATTGCTTCCATCTCAAGGTTAAACAATAGTCATCCTCTGCTTGTATCATAAAGGCTCCAATCCTTTTCAGCATCTCTGTGGCACTTCACTGGGCATTCTTCAGTATACCCATGTCTCTCTTGTACTTTATTAGTGACCATCCATATCACTAATCAGTTTCCAAAGGTAATTGAGTGTGGCCTTGCAATGACATCAGTCAGCACCCTTAGTCCTCAGGGTTACACCTCATCAGGTTGCATGAACTTGTGATCAGTTGCTTTAGGTGTGCTGGGGTCTGAGATATCTGAGTGCAAGTTTTACCAATAAAGACTACTGTGAAGAAAGCATTGAGTACCTCAGCCTTCTCCACCTCCTTTATTAGCTGAAAAAGGAAATTTATCGTCTTCAAGTATCATCTTGATCTGCAGACTTGGTCTGTAAATACATACCAGGAACCAAATGCTTCAGTGTCTTATCAGTCAGATCTCTCTCTGTCAGGTCCTAAGTTAGCTCCTTACTTCATGCCACCGCAGCTGCAGAACACTTTCATGCTCTGAAGAACGAGAGGAACCAATTCTAAAATAGGACTATACCGCAAAATCTGTCTGTGCTGTGCTTACAGAATGATTGCCCCCTCTCTCTCTTCAGGCAACTCAACACCTTTGGATTTATAATGCCATGTCTATGCTTTCAGAGCAGGGGGCTCCTTTAGTTTTGTCTGTATACAAATATGTATGTATGCTGCTTGACAAGTAATCATAAATTCTGTGCTCTCTAGAGTAATCTGAGAAGGTCTCTCCTCCTTGCCAAACAGCTAGTAGCTTTTTCTCATGTCAAGGTGATGTTTTCACATTGTCACTGAGTGTTAAATCTTACTTATATTTGCTTAAATGTTTAAGGTTAACTTTTTTTAATGTGGCTTATTGAATTTATTTGGACATATTTGGTTTATTTTGGGTTACTAAAATCTAATTAAGTTTTGGTTATCTCCAGAGTGCAATCTCCCGTGAGTTCTTTCTGTTAAAATTCCTGGTTTATGCCTCTCTCTCTGCTTGAGTGTTACTTGTAACAGTAGGAAAGGAGAAATTTCAGATTAAAATGTGCTTGGGAAGAGAAGGGCTTGGTAGGTTGTTTTTTTCTCAAGGAAGGAATATATCATTGGAAAGTATAAAGATATCAATGAAGGAGATAAATATGTTTGATCAAATATTAAAATACATTTTTAACATAATTAAAATCCAGTTAAATATATTTTAAATTAGTTTTTCCTTATTTTTTTGAACACTTCCCTTTGCAATATCATTTGTTCAACGTATTTTGTAAAGTTGTTCAGAAATTGTCTCAAGTACTGCACATGGCAGGCAAAACTCACTTTCCAGAATTTCATACTTGAAACTCAAAAAGAAACTCTCAGTTTGCTTTTCAATATTTTGAGATAAAAAAGAAATAGCTTCAAAAATAAAACCATGGACAGGATTTCTTAAGGATTTTAAACCTTTCAGCTCATCACACTGAGGACAAATCCAGATGCAGCCACACAGAACAGACGATTTCAGTTCACTCAAAATCAAAAGAAAGAAGATTCAAAAACATCAACATCAGTCACCAGCGTTAATCAGACCAGCACATCCCGACTAGAAGGACTGCAGTCAGAGAACCACCGCTTGAGAATGAAAATTACAGAGGTATTATTTATTGTATATACTGCCTAGGCATTTTTTTTACTGCTTTTATTGCATTTCTGTAATCTGCTTAAATGTTGACTACTTTTTAGAGGAAAAAGTTAGCTTTCCCCATAGAAAGTATTGAAACAATAGGAAACAGTTGATTTATATGAATAGCTAATTAATACAGCAAATACTTAGCAGGTGCGATGTAAGGAAAATATACCTTAGCAAATTAAAATGAAAATTAAATTAAAATGAAGCTTCCCCTATTTATTTGTAAGAGGCAAATTACAGTGCTGCATCGTATTGATGTGCTGAGCACCACAGAGCAATAGGTCTAGGAGTGCAACCTCTACATACAAGCATAACAGAGACCCACGGCCCCAGGGGCGCTTAAAAGCTGTCTTTGTTCCTGTTTATGGCTGAGTTCAGAGTCTGCTCTTACTGTTACTTCTCAGCCTGTCTGAGAGTTTGCTCAGAAACTTGCTAGACAGATTTTTACGTCTGCTGTGAAACAGAATGACATATTTTCTTAAGGTAGAAAAGACTTTTTCTGTCATGTAAGCTGACCCTTTTGGCACAACGGTCCTGAAATTTCTTCATTCTCTTTCGAGAGAAAGGCTAAGTACATGGAGGGCGAAAATTCCATTAGAGCTATAACATGCATATTATGTCTAATTATGTCCATCTTGCTCAAGAGACCTCAAATGAAAAACTGCCCATTTTGTGAGATAAGATAAACATAACTGATCTATATTTTTCAAAAAATAACCTGTCCTTGCCTAGTCTGTGAAATATTTTCATACCTTGAAGAAAAGGTATCCTATTGCAACCATTACTTCATCCAGATCTAATGACAATTGCCTAGATAACCAAAAGGTGTTTACTCAGACTCCAAAAGCAAAAGTTCTCTCTGCTGTGTTAAAGAAACATAGTTCAGTTTTGCCAATTAAAATTATTAAAATTCCCTTGCAATTTTTAATGAAGGTTCAGTTGGCTACTGGCTATTTCATTTATCCTACTGTAGTTTTTTTCTACTAAGCCTCCTAACTCACAAGATCTCAGCCTGTGCCTTGCGAGGCTCATGATGGTGATCACAGGTAAGGCTTCAATAGATTAAATTATTAACACCCAGAACCAGTGGGTCCAAATAAGAGTTTCATTGTCAAGGTGATTTGAGGCATGCCCTACCATGGCTGGCAGCTACATCTCTGGCTTATCTACCTTGAGTTGCTATATCCCAGTTCTGTACAAAAAGAACATAAATCTAAATTCAGCACTTTTAAAATTTGCTTAAGCCGGTAGTGAGTAGGACGTACTCTGGACACCGCAATCTGGATGGCTGCTCACAGAGTGCATCCAAGATCACCATTAAGGTGCTTGTATCAGGTTACTTACTGCTGGGGCTGTGGCTGATTGAATAAAGATTGGCTCTCTGGAGAGAGCACCCTGTGTTCAGCTCAGTGCTAAAAGCTAGGGGTGTACCAACCCGCATTTGTGCTATGGCTCTTCTAGGCAGGAAACATCTGTGCTCTTCTTCCTCTCCCTGTCTTAAAGGATGCTTTTAGGGAGAGAGAAGGCTGGGATTTTTGTTTCTTCCCCCTCGTCTTATTTCCATTTTTTCCCTCTTGGAATTTGATGCCTGCAATTGCGGTTTAGTGCTATCAGATTACATATTTTAAGATACAAAAGATACAAAACACAGGGGCATTTTTCAAATCACAAAGGTATAGAGTATTCTAAACCCCAAAACTGAAAACTAGGAGTTGGATTTTCTTCAAAATTTCACACACAATGAGACACAACCAAAAAGTCTAACAAGAGTCTGTCTCTCTAAGAAAGATAAAAGGGGTAAAAATAATCTTTAGGAAAACCAGACATTCCCAGTAGTGTCGACTGCAATCATTCACATGGCTGGACATGTCCCTGATGCCATAGTTCACTTATATTCTCCTGTATGTTCAATAATTGGATTGAAGTGGTTGTAGCTATGTATGCCACATTTGTACGCATAAATAATAAATACCTGAGAGGTTTTCAGACTGGGCTTTCTAATGCCCATTTCTTTCTCATTCAGCAGTACCTCTGAATTGCTTAAACTGTCAGCTACTGAAGCGATCCTTCTCTCTCATATGCGGTACCACAGCTGAACATGGTTGGTTACTTGTAGCTTGATTTTTGGAGGTAGCATTGTAGTGCTATATGAAAACTGTTATTTGGCAGTGTGGCAATTGCATTACCAGCTGCCTTTGAGTCTAATTATAGAAAGCTATGCAGTTACTGCAGATACCTGAAGCTATGACTCCTGAATTTTTAGGGATTCTTACTCTTTCTGTTTTGCAGCTGGACAAAGACTTGGAAGAGGTCACAATGCAGCTTCAGGACACTCCTGAGAAAACAACATACATTAAGCAGAACCACTATCAGGATCTTAATGACATTCTTAGTATACGGAACTTTACAGACACCAAAGGTGAGAGTTAGTAAAATCCATTTATAGCTTAATCCACCAAGACTTTTAAGAGCAACCTTACTGGATTGGTGTCAGAGCACTTGGAGCTTGGTAAGACAGAGCTTTACATACTTTGGTTGCATTACAGAGAGCATGCAGATTCACATAATAAGCTATACGGTACCCACTGAGTAGTTACTTCTCTGTATGTACATCTTCTATTGTATACCCTGTGTGCATATGACACATGGTAAAGTGGGAAACTTTTGAAAGCATACTTGTGTTCAGGAGTCATTTTCTGTGCTGCATGGAGGGAGGAAAGTCACAGAATGTTTCAGATTTTATGAGAATTAATCAAGCCAGCCTTCAGCAGTAGGAAGCCCCATTTAATATGTGCTTGTCTGAGTAGGACGTTCAAATCCTGCTTTTGGACACTGCTATCAAGCACATAGAAGAGAAGCATGTAAATATTTCAGTGCTGATTTGGACTCTAAATGTAGAATTGAAGGCACTCATGTACGAAAATTCTTCCCTAGGAACTGATAAAAAAAGGATTTCATGATGACTGTAGTATTCCTAAGTTGTTTCTACTGTGTCTTTTGCATTGCTCCCTGAAGAAATACATGTGAAAGAATTGCTTCCATTAAAGTTATTTCACTTTTGGGAAGCAATAAGATCTGGTGCATAGTGCAATAAAGTGGAAGCCAGGACACCCAGCTTCTATTTCTGACTCTAGAATGGATCTACTTTGTGACTTTTGGCAAATTACTTTGTACAGCTGAATATGACTATGGTGTGTGAAAAACGAGTTGCCCTATGTTGGAAAGTCATAGACTTGTGTATTTGTTGCAATGCTAGGCTCAGGCTTCCTACTGATGTGCAGTGTAAGCTTCCGTAAGGAGTACAGAAGCTACTCCTGTAAATATAGCTGCTGAAGAATAATTTTAGAACAACAGCAACAGTTCATAAATGCTTTTGAAATATACTGAAATTTGGGTTGGATAAGGTTACTTTTTCTTCTGCCTTTTGTTTTAGCCTGAGTATAAACTTGGTTGTGTAACTCGTGGCAAAAAAAAGGGAGGGAAGAGCTCCACAGACTTCCCGGTGTCCTTTTTAAAATTAAAAAACAGAAGGGGGAGAAGGGGAAAAAGGAAAATGTAAATAGCTGCTGGAGGCGTGCGATTATTGGGCTGAGATCAGCAGCAAGAACTAACATCAGTGAGTGGGATGAGGCAGTTTTACCAAGTGTTTGAAAGGAACACATAGAATGTTCCACTCATGTCAGATGCTGCAGGGAAAACGATAAATCATGAATAATATTTCAATCAGAAAAGGTACACTGCATTGTGCCAAATGCCCATCTGAGTTTTGGTATGAGAAATAAAAAATATTCTCAAGAGATACGCTGGGTATAAATTTAGGATGGGATGCTTCTCACAGCAGGTTGCACTCCATTAGTAGTAGGATGCTGGCAAAGAAATCAAGGAGAAAAGATAACCTTTCTGCACTTACTTGTGGCTATATCTACAAAAGACATTGATACCTAACTGCTGCTTTATGTAGCAGCATCCAAGATTACCTGTGTTCCTCGGTTTCCCCCGGTACAGTTCCCTAACTTCTACATTTCTCCTGCAGCGTATATATTTAAAATCACCTGTATGTACAGAGCCTTAGTGTACAGAGTAGCTTGGAACTATGTACTATTGGCATCTACAAGGTAGATGTTCTTCTGAAGTTGCTGGACAGCGTTTCCTGAATGGACCTACCACATAAAGCTCTGCACAAAACAGAAGGGAAGGAAAAGAAGAATGTTTTCGCTTGGCCATCTTTATATTGAATAGGTTACAGCATCCATTCACCTGGGAATGAGGAAGACCTGGATCCTGATTTGCAGCAGGTGTTTGAAGCTTGGTCCAACACCTGGTGGCGAATGCGCCAAGCATGAGTATTATGGAGTATCATGATCCTGACCCAAGTGACATCAAATAGTCATACTTCCAGGCTCTGAGCCATCATGTTCAACAACCTTTGTTAACCTTTCTCTGTCCTTCCATTTCTGTTTCTTCTGCCTCTGGTTTTCTCTCTTTCCATGTTTCCCCATCCCCTACCTACATGTCTGAATCTTCCCTGTATTTCTCTCACTGCATTCGTTCCCAACAGTCAACCTATGTGCTTAATTTAAATTTGCCATTCCAATCAAAATAACAAGGCTTTGGAGAATTCATGCTGCTGAGTCACTGCTGCTTCTGTGCAGATGCAAACAGACATCACTTAAATGGTACTTAAAAAAATTCTGGCGCTTACGGCTACAGGAAAGCTAATTCTGACTGACATAACTATGCTTTCTGTAGCTATGTATTTCATGTAACTTTCTGCAAATGAAAGTACCAAACCTTGAAATTATGCATCCCTGACGATACTTGAGTGAAGCTTCAGAATTCTAAATCATTTACTAGCATGACCTAGAAGTGACCATGTCTCTCACCTCCATCATGCAAGTCCAATGTCATTTTTAAGGTGATGACAAGGTCTGTGCCTACCTTGGACCTTGTAAAAAATGTGAGCTGAGAGAGAGGGAGAAGGACAGTGAAGAGAGATGTTAAAAATAGCAGCTGACTTGGAACTAAAACTCATAGCAGGTCATTTCCCACATTTCCATTGTGGACATGGCCGAGTGTTACGTCAATCTTCTTTATAAAATACCTTGCCGTCCTGAGGGAGTTCACATAGAGAACGTAATGTGGTGTCTCCCCATCACTACTGCTTGCACAAATTCAGGGCGCTGTAGTTGAGAGAACAGGTAATAACACAGGACTTATGCAATGTATCTCAAAAAAGGCCTAATCAAACTTTAATGTCCTAGTATACTTCAGTAGGTTTCTGATCTGTAAAAATTGTCCAGAGTTAAAATTTCTAAACTCCTATAGCCTAATGCCAAAGGAGATTATTTGATTCTTGCATTCCTTCCCCACCACCCTCATTTATATCAAATATAGATTTAGGATACAAAAGCAAAATTACTTTAGCCAAAATAGATAGACACAGCTGTGCACTCCCATAACTGCCTGACCTCAGGCAAAGTTTCATAACATTGGAGTTCCTGGTTAGTTATTAAGAGAAAAGCTCCTGGTGTAGCTCAGGAGCTCTTTGCTGGCATAGGTACTCCTTCTTTACAGCGCAGTTCAGTACCTCTCATTTAAAGAGAGATTATATGAGACACTCATCTCTTGTTCACAAACATGTAATGTCTCTGAGACATCTGCAGCAATTGGCTATGTAAGAAAAGCAATTAGGAAAAGTCATTTGTAATTTATGGTTTGATTGCTTTTTTTTTCATGCAGGCTTTTGTCTGCACTGTAGATAGCTCTGTGTGGTCAAGCAGTTCTCAGTGTGCTTCAAGGACTATGGCTCTGGGACCTCAAATGGCTTCCCCGGTTGAAATTAAGAGGACATCCCCTTAATTTCATTTGATACCTTCCTCAGGTGATTTTGAGTCACTGTGTCTAGTAGTGACCTCAGCTTTGTGCACAGCACAACATTAGCTTCTCTCCTGGCTTGCCGTTTCAGGATCTGGTCACCTTGCTGGGTCAACCAGCCTGGGTTTGGGACAGGGATGGGCTGCGGGTGAGACCCATGCTTGGCTTGGGCTGTTCCTGTAACTGGCAGTGCTGTTCAGCAAGGAGAGCCAAGCTTGGAGACTCAGCTGAGTTTTCCAGGCTGACATTTGGAAAAAGGAGGAGAAATGCTTGTAACTGTGATGCTGTGTAAAGAGGAAGGTTGTGCCGCACAGCTCCAGGGAAGAAATATCCTGCAACAGGCACAAACCGGAGCTTCCCAAAAGGGCTCCCTGCACCCATGTAACTGGGGTGCCAGAAACAGGAGAGACATCGTGAAGGTAGAAGTTATTTATACTATGCAAGTTCCTACAGAGATAAAAGTTAATGAGGATGAAATTACAGAGGGGAGTTGCTATGTGGTTGGGGGGAGGGTGGGGGGTGGCTAATTTTGCTACACTTGAAATCTTACAATCTTTCTCTATTTTACTCCTGTTTGATATTTTATTACATGAAATTCTATGTGAATGATTCACAGATTGCAAGAGTTTCATATAAAGCCAAGCTTAGAAGAAATCCTGCAGGAGAATCTCCATTTATTTCTACCTTCGCCAGTACTTTTCAGAGTAACATATTAGGAAAATTAATGAATGACAGCCATCCTATGGAAAGTACATAAGAAACAGGAGACAGCCTTCCAATAGTCACCACTTATGAACAAACCCTTTTGGCAAGTTCTCTCTCCGCAGGTACCCCAGCTTGCTCAGAAAACCTTTTCTGTTTTGAGCTAGAAAAGAGTCTCTACTCCTTGCTGTAAATGGACCGAGAGCATTCACCTGCATGTCAGATATGCCTACAAACTGTCAGTCGTCACCCCACTCCAATGTTTCTTAGTGTTAGTTTTTCCCCATGTAAAAGCAGCTCAAAGAAAAACAGATTTCAAAGGCATGTTGCTTGAAAATGCGAAGCAAAACAGAGTTCATCTGTGATAGAGCAGGGAAATATTACTTCTATGAAGTTAGTGTGAGTCACGCATTAAGTTTGAGGTTGAAACCATAGATTCAAGTGAAAAACTTTCAGAAATAGGTGTACAAGACTTTAAAGGAATGCTGTTTTAAAGAAAGTATATAGTTCATTATATCCTTTGTATAGAGAGATATATAAAGATATGTATATGAGTTTCTATGAAGCCCAGCAAATGGATCACAGTCCTGAAATTGGAGCTTATTTCTGTTTCAACAGGGAGACCAAACAGCTAGAAGTTCAGTGCCTGCCCTTCCTTGCACAGAAATTAGTCTGTAGTTAAGAGACTTTCTTCTGATTTAAAGTAGTATAAATCAGAGGAGATTACTTGCTTTTCTTTTAAAAAAGTCTTCCTTTCAAAGCATAGCTATCAGAAGTCATGTTTTAGACTGCCTGGTGCTGTGAGCTTAGTTCAGGATAAATTTTTCTGATACACCCAGCAGACAACATGATCATTTTAATTTTTCTTTTTGTTTTACTTTCTTTTCAGCCTGTTCACATAAAAAGCAGAAACTGGCTGGTCTTGTTTTATGGTCCAAACAACAGAAGTGTGAAAAATTACAGTATATTTTAAAAATCTACCTTTAGCTTTAAAGTTTCCTGACTTCTTCAGTAAATCAGCAAGGTTATCTCTGCCAGCTCTTATAAGTCATTATTAAACTACACTTGCTTCTTTGTGGAGCATAAAATACACTTTCTAGCAAAGTGGAATTGAAAGATGTGGGGTGAAGAGCAGTTCTGCCATCGGGTCATAAGCCATTGGAGCTATATTGCCACTAAAAATGTAATGATGAAGATGTTCAATAAAGCCGCAGTGTACAAACATCAACAAAACAAGCTTCTAGGTAAAGAAATACAGTCCCTAAAACCTTGGGAGAAATTGCAGCAGTGGTAGTCACCTGGTGTTTTCTGCCTGCAGCTGAGCAGGAGTCATTAAAATGCACGACACATCTCTTCCAGCCCAGGTAATTTTGACAGGGCCAGGTTGCAGAGCAATTATACCCACAGCAGCTCTGAAGAAAGCATCACCCCTGGCAGAGGGAGAGGCAGCAGCTGGGAGCAGTGACCTCCTCACTGAGCCTCTCCACAGCCAGCGTCCAATGTGCTCTTGCAGCCCGGAGCTTTGTAGTTGGGAGTTGTTTCTCTGCTGCAGGTAGGCAGAGGTCCCATGCCAAAACCTTCTGGCTCTCACTGACAACTGGGCAGCGGGTGGTGTTTCCTAATGAAGCCATCAGTGAGTGCCACAGGGCCCTCGAGATCTATTTGTCTTTTCTCCCCCCAATGGTTTCCTGAATGGAAAGTGCTCAGGCATCACTTATGCGGGCTTCTGAGTTCTGGTTTGAGGTCTACGAAGGTGAAAATTACTTAGGAAGTGCTTCTGGCTAATGTAAATTCAATTTTGAAGGTAGTTAGATCATCTCAGTGCAACTTATGCACTGGCGGATAGTGCCTAAGAATGAAGGGCATTTTTCAAGTGGATACTTAAAGGACAGAGGAATAAAAGATGGTGAATTACTGAAAGCAATGCTACACTTTCCAGGGGAAACTAGGACCTCAGATGCTTACTGTTACCCTTACTTTATTTTCTTTCAGTTCTTCATGTATATAAAATCGGTTTCCTCCATCCTTAAGTTTTTGAAGTGCATATGGTGATAGTGTTTTTTCTTCAAGCTCCAGCTCCTGGAAGCATATGACTAAGTGAAAACCTTGCTCTTCATTATTTAAATGAAAGGTAAATGAAAAAAGAAAAAAAAAAGGAAAAAAAAAAGAAAAAATAAAGGAAAAAAAAAGGATGGTGGGGGGGAAGATATTCTAATTTCCATAGCTACAGAATAAAAATCTAACAACTCTCCCAAAGAGCTTAACAAATAAGAATTACCCAACTTTTTTGTATTTTGAAAGAAGCAAAGGAAAAGGGAAAAAATCTCAACATTGTGGCAGTTTTATGTGGATTTTGTCTGTATTTTTTTAACCTGGAACATTAAAACTTGTATATGGTAACCTTGTATACAGAAATGTATACACTGTATTAAGGGAGAATCATCTGCAGGAGTGATAGGAAAGGGTCTATTAAGAATAACACACAGTGATGTATGGGCAGTTGGTGTTGAGGGGTGAGTAGGCAGAGAATAGATTATTTCTGTTCTACTTTAAACTAAATCCCCCACCGTTTTGACAGGCACCACCTCCTTCTCTCTCTCTCTCTCTCACAGCACAACTGAAAGCAGAAGAATGTCCCCTTTAGGGACATACAACATACATTAAGATACGAAAGTACAGATTCCCAAAGCCCAACAGTTGCATATTCCAGTCATTTGATGAAGAATTGTGTCTTCAGTGGCTTTGTAAAAGTTAAATTCCTTATCTTGGCCAAAGGAGTTGGAACCCTAAACCAGTTAAATAATAGACCTTTTCCATCCCTAATTACAAAGATTACTCAATTTTTAACTTTAATCTATATTATCAAGTCAGCAGTTTTCACTGTCTGCTTAGATGACCTCAGGATCGAACGCTGGTTTTAATCATGGAAGTAAAAAGTATTCTTTTCTGTGTGTCTGTTTATAGACATCACAAGGCTTTTATGCAAATGTCAAGCTCAATATACATAGAAATGCAATATATGGAAAATAAAAACTGAACTCTTGTGACAGCAAATGCCACACCAGCAAACTTCAGGCTGCCCTGAGATGATAGACTTCATTGCTTATCTTAGCCACTGTCAGATTTTACTCTTTGCTCTCCTCCCTTCGCATCTAACCCATCATTGCATCCTGTCCTATCTTCCTTTTAAGCACGCTTCTTGCTGCAGCTGAATTCCTTGCCTCTCTTTTACTGCCGTTTTCTTGCCCCAACAGAAGCAGCTTCATGTGCTCTGGTCACCTCCTTTCTCACCCAGACCCTTGTCTACCATACAACACAAGAGAAAAATCATCTTTCCTGCTCTTCTGAGCTGTATCGACCCCTTTGTCTGTGCATTTTTGCATTCTCATCTATTCACTTCTTTCCAAGTTGCTTGTTAGATTTTTCACAGCAGAAAGTGGATGCTACAAAATAGTGCCAAGGCATGGTGGGAGGGCAACTATACATGTTGGAGTTAGCCCTCAAAACATTCCTGTTTCTGCTTCCAGCTTCTTTCCTCACTCTTAGTTTCTGCTGGGTTTTTGTCCCACCAGCATCCTTACTGTGCTTGTTGATAATGTAAATATTCCTAGTGTGCTGGCACCTGAGCTTTATCTGGGGCTTCTGAGCATTAGTAGAACAGAAAAGCAACTTAAGCCTTCAAAATGCACTGCTGTTTTCATTTTCTCTTCAATATTTTCCTGCTTTCCCCCCTCATACCCCTTTTTACACTCAAAGCCTCCAGTGTCCTTTTCCAGTTGTTACCTTTGAGTCCTCTTCCATGCTCCCTTAATGCCTGCAGCAATCACTGTTTCTCTGTGTGTGTGGCAAACAACTGCCGGAGATGGATTTGGAGCTGCTCTGTAATTATTTATGAAAACTGTGCGCTGTCCTCATTACTCAGATGTTTTCCATGTGACTTTATTTGGCTTAACACAGCAGGAGACTTCAGAAAAACAGGCAGGAACAGAAAGGATCCCTGGCGAAGACAGCTGCCTTAAAATGGCTGTGTTTCGTCCGTGTTTCTCAGGGGGACCGATGCCACAGGCTTCAGCATGGCCAGCCAGGGACTCCGGGGGGAATCAAGTGAAGCTACCTACGGGGGAAACGGTGATCTTCTACGTTATCACTATGCAGGAAAGGGAACAGCAGAAGAAAGCTTAATGAAATCATTAGCTGCCCTTCCTGCAGGCAACCCATGGACCAGTGCAACTGATATGAAACATAATTCAACGCTAAATGATAGCAGATAGTTAAGTGACGGCTCTTAATTGCTTATGTGATTGCAAGGTTTTATACATCAATGAGGTTATAGTTTTTTTCTAGGAAAATACTTAAATAAGAGGTTTTTTCTTATGAAAAGTTAACAATTTTTGACTGCATGATAATATGATGGTGCAGTTACATTGATCTTTTACACAGCCTAAGACTATGTGAGAGAGCATGACAGTGCTACAGAGGTGGGCAACAAGGTTTGGTTTGTGACTTTTTTTAAAGGTGAGGGGGAAGCAAAGGAAGGACAAAGAGGTTTTGTCCCTTTTCTGTTTCTTCATGGTAGTTCCTATGAAGGAGCACATAACTGGAAGCATAAGGGTACCAAAGACTCACAGGGAAACCTGTGACTGTATTGGAACATAGACAGAAGGAGTTTACTTTGTGGCATTATGAACACCTGGGAAATTCAAAAATTAAACAATTCATCACAGTCAAGTAAAACTGAATGTATTGTCCATCCAGATGGTGAGAAAGCCATTTTGAAAAATCATCTTGATCAAAATCCACCAGCGCAATGGGGCTCATCAGACCCTTCCAGAACAAACAAAGATCCTATAGAAGACATCAACTCTCCAGAACAGTAAGTATACACTATTACATACTGGTACAGAAGAAGGCACCCCTGCTCTCTTGGGTATGCATGTGCTTGTGTATGCACACTTTCTATAGTTTTAGCCATGAATTCCATCCTGGACACCAGCTGATAAAACTTTAATTTAAATGATTACATTTCATCAAAACCCATCTTTTTCTTTCATGCATTATTATGGTAAGGCCATCACTGTTAACCCTTTCAGCCACCCCCAGCTACAGAGAGAGCCTGGACCACCATCAACAGAAGATGTGAATGGCACCTCCTGAAGCACCAGCGGGCAGCAGCATTGTGCTGTGATGCCTTCCTGCCACCAGTTCACCATCCTCACCACGTTTAGAGGATACCAGGGGCATTGAGGTGCCCCAAAGGCAAACTAACATACATCTTTTGTCTTGCCAGCAACATCCATAACATCACATCTGAAGTTTCTGTAGAGAGTTACAGGACAAGCTGTGCCAACCACCAATGTATATTAAGGAGAGGAGAGGATGTACATTTATGCACACATGTGCGGTGACTGCTGTCAACAGCCCAAGTCCTTCCACATGCCAGCCAGAGGGGTTCGTGGTGTACATAGCCATTTTGTTCTCTTTCCATCTCAAACTAACTGAGAAATAAAAACACTCTTCGGGCTTTTCAATGTTACCATGGCAGTTGGACCTGAGTTTTGGCATAGGAAAGCCTGCACCAAGTAGTTTCCCTTAGAAAAATGCTGCGGCTACAAGGAGAGGATGGCACAAAACACTTGCTAGAGTCATGGAGGGGGAAGAGAAGATTTTCTCTCCAGAAACCTATATAATAATCTCACATACTACTCTCTACCAGCTCAGCAGGACCTGCTGTGGGACAAAGCTCAGAGAAATATTGTGCTCGTTTGTCCCTGGATCAGCTGTTTCCCAATGGCAGCCTGGTTACATGGGCACCACTTCATCAGGATCTCAGCTGATAGCTGTCAGTCCCCTGTTTTGTACATGGGCACCTTAAAAGCTTATTTTAAACCAGAATAAACTAAACAAATTACTAGACTGAGTCACATGTTACATGTTACAGCAGACCTGATTTCAGATAGTAGTTACTGCTTTGTACTACCTGGTGCAGGAAAACACATGGCTTTCTAACTCTACCTTTGTGCTCCAAAAAAAAACCCCAACCCAAACCTGCACAGGAGCTAATCCACACACACACTTATGCAGCAAAAAAAAGCCCCCAGTAGCTGAAATATCTGTTTATTTCACAAAAGCAGGGCTGTCACTGACAAAGCTCTCATGACTTTATGGGGTCAACAGAGTGCTATAATGCATAGCTATTAGAAGTCTGTCTTTTTCGAGCATCATTTGTCAAAAATAATGTAGTATGAATGCAGTCTTATCCACATGTGGCCCCCTTACATTAAGAGAAGCGCTAAGAAAAACACAGACACTCAGATAATCCAGTTCTCTCAATACAGATTTAATACAGAAAAAGAAGAACATTTGGTGATAACAGAACCTCCTCTAGGCTAGTGGTAACTAGAGAAGACTGAGATTTCCTGAAGTCCTATTAAATCAAAACAGTGTCATTCAGCAGTTCCACAGCTGTGACTGTGCCAAGTCCAAGGGTCAGTGTCTCCCCTGAGAATGTGTTGGCAGTTTGGGTACCAGAGCCACACCACCCAGGACATGCCAGAGAGGAGAAGAGTGACAGTCTTCAGGACTAGGGTTTTGCGATTCCCTCTCTTTGACAAGAGATTGTCTCTTTCCAAACTTTGGGCTTTTTAAGAGCATCCATACTCACACATGTGGGTTTTTTTAATTTCTCTGGCAGCAATTCTGGCCTTCTATGGTTATTAATTTTTTGTCAAAAAAAAAAAAAACCCAAAAAAGAGGTAAAGACAATCTCCAGTTTGTGCCTCCTCTTTCTCATTTCACTGCATACATAGGGCATCTGATAGAGAGGTTGTCACACAGTCTATCAGATCTATTTCTTACTCAAGAACAGAAATCTCAAGGACATTAATCTGAAAAATATTTCCTCTTTGCCACAAACCTCTGAAAGGAGGATGCTAAGATCACAATGTGCCTGAAGAAATGTTATCTCTTTATTTGCTATAGCAAAAAGAAGCATTCCAGCTTCCTGTTATTGACAGCACCCCGGAAAGCTGACACCTTCCAGTATGACAGTTCTTGTAGAGTGCAGAAAAGCATTTGATTTGTTTTTTTTTGTTTTTTGTTTGTTTTTTTTTCATTATTCCTTACCACTAGTGCTACATTAGACTAACTGCAAGTGTGGCCTCTCATCCTACAGTTGTGTCCAAAGTGGAGACACAGGAGTATGCATACACTTTAGGCTCAGTAGCCCTGGAAGTAGTTTTAGTGTTCGTCTTAGCTTTAGTTTTAGTTTTCTTTTTCGTTTTGTTTTAGTTTTAGTTTCAAAGCACATTTGTTTCTGGGGTGTTGGTTTTAGCATCCCAATCAGAATGTGAAAAACACTTGTTTTGTGCTTGGCTCAGATTTAAAATCCTGCATCTAAAGAAATGCAGACTGTATGACTGCAGAGCAGCATTAAAGCACTAGTATAGATGATTCACAGTTCTCTTTGCATATTACTCCCTTTCCTGCTGGGCAGGACCCAGTAGGTTATCCATAGTGTTACGAAGAATTTGCCATACCTAGACAGACCATCAGAGATGAGGAGCAATATGTGGGTGCTGGCTGCTTTCTTTCCCATCCACACTGGCTATACAGTGTAAATTAACACTTCCTACAGCAGACAAAGCAGTGCTGGTGCACAGCCTCAAGCCCTGCACTGTGGTTTTCCACCATGCTTATTAGTGTACACCCTAGCCCAGTTGCATCAGCTTTTGCTTTCCCAGGAAATGCTCGGGCCCTGTTTGGGGGGAGTTTAGCTACATGGATGGAAGCTGCACTGTGCCACTTCATCTCAGGTCCTGAGAGCAGTCTGAACCAGTTCAGATAGATATAATAGTTCATTTTCCAGTAGTTTGGGGTGTCCCTCATGCAAAGTCAACTTCTTCCTCTTCCTTGAGTGTGTGACCTGCTAGGGAAGATTGGTGTGCCTTATCTGGACTCGCTACTTTAGTACCAGTTTTATCAGTGCAGTGTCCTGAGATGTTAATCAGGATACTATTTGTATTCTAGCCTGATAGTGACCTGCTTACTTATCTAAGGATCACATCAGTAAGCTTATCTGCACGATGGCCACACGAATACATTCAAAGGGATATTCTCCATGACCCTTAAAGACATTCTTCTGTGCACCTTCATTCCTGCACGTTGCCACATCTCATCAGTGACTTACATTTGGTGAATTAGTTTTTGGCACTGTTAAAATTTATACTGTTCTCATTTTAACAGCCACAATACGGTATAGTCTTCCAGATCCCTGAGTAAAGAGATGATAGATTTCTGTGGGACCCCACTAAAACCTGCCTTTTTGATAGACTGTTTCCTATGTGTGGTCATTTTTGCAACCTTCAAAGCAGTTATTGCTGTGTAACCCTCGTAATAGAAACAATCTCATGGGGTTTTTTTTGTTTGGTTGGGGTTTTTTTTAGCTAAATCTCTGCTTTTAGCAGCATATAAAGGACAGGCAAATACCCTGCTGGAACCAGTTATGTCAATTTTAGTAACCAAAAATTCTCATCAAAAAAGTTGCTTATAACTGGTTTGTTACATTACAGCCATATGCCTTGCCATGAGTATGCCTCTGTTACTCAATTTCTTCACTGAAAGTGGATCGTTTTAGTCTATCTGTGATCCTACTCAAATCTGTAATTACAATGAGGTGGATCTAGAAAGGTTAGTTTACTTGCCAGTGTTTTTTGTAGTCTTTTAGAACATGTCCAGCTTCACAGCACTTGCTAAAAATAAACATTAATGGCCTGAAGAATCGATTGAAACGATCCCTAATGCTTAGACACAATTTACATGCTCACACAGATCTTCAGATGTTTGAATGCAACAGCAATTGTTCCAGTCCCTGCACTTACCGATGGATCTCATCAGTGGTTTTGTATAGCTGTCGTGGTTTAGGCCCAATGCATAACTGAGCACCACGATGCCACAAAAAGGGCTAGTCAAAATAAAAACTGAGAGGGCTTCTCACCACTTATAAAGGTCACAGGCAAAAGACACTCATCATAAGGAATAAAAAACAAAACCATTTTAATTTGTTACCAACATCAGAGTAGAACAATGGGAGATACAACCAGATCTTAAAGTCAAAACACCTTCCCCCTTCCACTTTGCCTTGAGGTGCAGGGGGATGGGAGTGGGGGTTGCAGTCAGTTTTCACGCTATGTGCCCCTCAGGAGTAGGAAAAAACTCAGCCCAGCCAATCTCTCTGCTTCCACATGGACCCCTTTCCATAGGGGAAAAAGTCCTCAAAAGTCCAATCTGGATCTGCCCATGGTCACAGTTCCCTCACACACGAAACTGCTCCAGCACACACTGCCCGTAGTCACAGCTTCTTCAGGGGTAGCCACTGCTCAGGTGGCCCTGCCCCACCGCTGAGCTCTACGGGCTGCAAGCCAATCGACCTGGCTCTCGCCACAGGTTTCAAAAGGGGAAACCTGGGTTCTGCATCCTCCTCCTCCTCCCTCTCCTTTCTTTCCTTCAACCGACCTTGGTGTTCTTCAAAGTTGTTCTCCTCTAGCCCCACTCCTTTCTCCGCTGCAGGTCTCTTCTGATGGTTATGGAGTTCCTGGCTCTCAATCTCTTTTTTTCGGGATGAGCTGCAGCGGGCTTAAGCTTAAGTTGTGGTCAGGGCCGGCCAAGCCCAGCCGGGCAAGGCCAGGGCCATGCTACTTGCACCTGGGGCTGTGATGGTCAGGGCCAGTGCCAGAGAGAGAGAGGAAATGCCCTGCACCCTCCTTAAATACATGAATTCTCAGAGGCGCTGATTGGCTTGGCCCTGGTCAGAGGTGGGTCTGGCAAAGGAAAAGAGGGAACTTTTCAGGTAGCTTCTTAAAGGGCCGTCTTCATAGCCCTTCCCCCGTTACCAAAGACACAACCAAAAACCCCTCACAGAAAACACAATACAATAGCAGAACCAAACTCTTTTTCAAATGTCTCTAGCTCCTTTGTAGCATTGTGCGTTCCCACGTGCATTGCATTGTGTTCCGATGTGCATTGGCATTGAAAATCAAGCTTTTACTTGATTTTATTTATCCCTAATAAATGGTTTCTTTGTACAGAGCTGAGGGTACATGCCCTATTCCAACACAGTGCCCTGATATGGGGCTGCTCTGGGCAAGGCACCACCTTTCCTTTCCATCTCCTTCAGCCATTGTAGAAAACCACAAATACTAACCATTCCCTCTCCAACATACTTGACAAATGCTTTGGCATATCTATATCGCATGGACAACTTTAAACAAATTGTATGCCACCATCCTGAAAAGCATTGACAAAATGCAGCACAGGTGGAGGATGGGGACAAACACTGATATTGGAGGGAAAAAACCCAACACAGTGAGACAAGGTACAAGATTTAATTTCACTGAAAGAGAAAATAGTAGTTTTGTTTGGACTTTGTTATTTCTTTTGTTTTGCTTTGTTTTTTCCCTAGGAGTTTTGCCTAAACTCTTAATTGTGTGTGACTCTCCAGGCCACAGTCCTCAGCCCCAACTCTGGGAACTAAGTTTTCAAGTGAAAATAAACTTTTAAGTACAGTTAAAGAAAAAATTGCCACCCACTGCAGCCCCTGTTGGCTTAGCCAAATAAACATGCTTTGTCCATGGTATGGCTAACACTTAAATGGGTGAAAAAAGAAATCCCATTCACTTGATTATGCAACTGGATTCCCTTGGAACGGCTTCAAAAAGCTCTTTAATGAGAAGCCTGTAACAGTCGAACAAAGTAAGCATTTCCACTGGTGGGAAAATAAGCACTGGTAATTCTGTATTTGACCCTGCAAGGAGAGGCAGAATGACAATCCGCAGCGTCAGGCTCATAAGGATTCAGCACATGGCAACAGCGAGCCATGGCACCTCTGCACTCCTTGGGAACAAGGCCTTCATTGATAGCCCCAGAAAGAGTCGGGCACAGTAGCAAAATAACAATGAATGGATTTTATTTAATCCCCGGGATGCACTGCCAGCACTACAATGATCAACACTGTGGATCAGTATTGCATAAAACTTTTAAAGAGAGTTTGTAGGGGGGGGAAAGATAAAGAGTTTCCCAGCTAGGCAGACTCCAACTATTTCCACCACATCTCTAAATAAGCAAGGCTTAGTTTGTAGTGAAGAAACTAAGGAGAAGCAGCATTACATATCTTTCTGCTTAAATTTGAAAGCTATACTGCTTGGTCCCTGAGCAGTGCTATGGATGCCTTGGAAGCTGTCTCTGCTTCCTGACACAAAGCAAAAAAAGAAATGAAATGTCATTTGAATCAGAAAGGCTGTCCAAAGGCAAGCTTTCAAGTGCGCACTTCTTATAAGGGCTTGTCTATACACAGTCATTATATCAGATAATAGGGAAATATAAATTTAAAATTCCATTGTATTGATACAATGCAGAAATAAAATGGGCATTTTCATTCTGGAACCAAAAAGCTGGTCTCCGGTTCAGCTCTGTCACTTTGACATCTGTCTTCTCTTTAAAAAGTCCCTCCATGTTTCAAGAGTGAATGTCTCCAAATGCAGAAGTAATTCTGGTATGATAACATTGTAATCACTGAAAACATCTCTTGCACTAACAAAGCATTTAAAATGAGATTTTTATTTTTGTGGAAGGTACTAGTATATCCACTGCATCGGGGTAGCAGAGCCCTTCTCTCATGGCACTGTCCTCTCTATGGAGAAGGGTTAGTTGGGATATCTGTGAGCATGGTTTAGCATCCCTTTTAAAATCCAAACCAAACCAAATCAAGGCAAACCCTATCAGTTATCATGATGTCAGTCTGCCTGGAAAATTGGCTACAGTATGTTGGGTTCCTAAATACTTAATTTTGGTGTGGGTGGCAGGTCAGACTGCTTTTAGAGTGCCGGCTACTCAGTCTCACAGCACAGGCTGCGGGAACTTGAGAGCATCCAGCACCTCAAAACCACAGACCCAAAGTGCAAAGAGGAACTACTTGGAAGAAGCCGTCAGTCCAAATTCCCCCACTCCATGCACCTGTGTTTGCCTTAGGTGAAGCTGCAAAAATGCCATCCATAATTCTAACATCCTTGTGCTCAGTGATGCATGGCTTAAGCCTCAGCCTGTGCCCTCATGCGTGTTGATGCAGTTAGCCGGGGCTCTGCATGTGATACATCACTTTGCAAGGGATGAGGGGCTGCTAAGCCATACGCTCTCATTGCAGACTTTAAGTTTTCCTTTTTTCTGGTATCAGCAGTCTGACAATTAACCTGAAAGTACCTGGGAATTTCAGAAGGCTGTAGGATGCTGAGAAGGCACCCTTAGATTCTTTTGTCATGTCTAGCTTGTCAGAAAAATTCCCCAAGGGGAAGTAACACATAGCTCAACAGCAGTGAGTGCAATGCTCTTGGCATTAACCCTCTCCATCGCAGCAGCAGGCACAGAAAATATCCTTGCAGCAACCTGCAGACATCTCAAGCACGTAATTTATTACATTTTCCTCTTTGCTAACGCTCCTTTTTCTGTCTCCCTTGCAGCATACAGCGTCGGCTGTCTTTGCAGCTGCCCATCCTTCACCATGCCTACTTGCCATCCATAGGAGGGGTGGATGCCAGCTGTGCCAGCCCCTGCGTCAGCCCCAGCGCCAGTCCTCGGCACAGACACGTGCCACCCTCCTTCCGAGTAATGGTTTCGGGGCTGTAGGAAAGGGAGATCAGTGCTTCCTGAACTGCTTTTAAGTACTCAATGACTGGACTAAACATCTGACCTAGAACTCTGCTACAAACATCTAACATTGGCTCTTACCGCAGAGGACTTACCGCTGAGGCCATCGTCACAGGAGTGCCCATGTAACTCGTGTGGGAAGGTGAAGGAGAAGGACACAAAGAGTTTGATCTGTAGCCTTATTCATGGAGTTTTTATTTCTTCACGTAGAAGTCACTGAAAAAAAACGTTTCTTCCCAAATTTCTACTCGCAACAAAGAGGCTGGGAAATACGGATCTTGCAAAAAAGACACTGAGAAAATAAAACACTCAAATGTCACTGAGCTTTATGTGGCTGCTGAGAACATGCAATTCTATACTCTGTCCATGTAAGGAAAATACAATGGTTGAGCTATACCATATTTATTGAAATAGATACACTCATTTTTACAAGAGTTGTGTTAAATTGCTGGCAACATTCTGCACTGGTTAGTCTTGCTTGTTTTCATTTCAGGGACGATGTTTGAGAGGAAAGGAGGATTATGAGAAATTATTCCTCGGGTGCCATTGAGACTCTGCAGTGCTGCGAGCAGAGTCACCTCTGCCTTGCAGCTGGGCGGGATACCCAAGCAGGGGCTGAAGCTCCAGCTCTGAGTTGTCACCAGCTGGAGGGCTGCTGGCTGAAAGCAGAGCTCTTCACCCTTCTCTAGGAATGCTGGTAGTGACTGCTGACCATCTGCAGTTTCATTTTAGCAAAGTCTCTGCACCTATTTGAGTATAAACACCACCAACCATAATGTACTCACCTGTCTGGAAAAGTCCTAGGGCTGATAACTCAAGAAGCTGAGGACAGATGGGCAGTAAAGTCTTAATGTCACAGGACGGATTGTTTTTCATCATTTGTTTGAATTATGTCACACATAATTACAATAAAATTAATTTAGCGGACTTGGGGGGGAGGGTTTAGGGCACAGCACTTTGCTGCTGCAGGCAAAGCCCGCAGAGCACATAGATGTGAGTATACACTACGTTTGCTTTGTACCTGCGTGTGTGACAGTTGTAGCGGATAATAGAGAGGACAAATCAGATTTACCAATAGAATATTTTATCTGCATCCTAAAAGGACTGTGGAAAAAACCAGCAGTTTTTGTACTTTAGCTCCATCCCCCGAACCGAAGCAATTAGGAGGAATGCTAGTGGCACACCGTCTGGACCAGCTCTGAAGCCAGACCTTCAGGCACAGGTGAGACACACATGCAGCTTCTTTTTCCAAGGGACTGGAAATGTGGCATCTCACTGCCAGGGCTGTTTGCTAAGAGTAGGGAAAACAAAAAATTAAAAACCACATGAAGCACCCACTGGGCTCTCAGTTTTCTTTGACCAACGCCTGTGCACCTCAGCCCCAACCATTACAATGGCGTTTCTACAAAGGTTTATAAATCAGCAATGAAGCACAGCGAAGAGGTTCATTAGCTGAGGGATTAACCACAGCTTTGACAAGCTAGCATAAACCTCCATTAAAAATAAAACACACCTCATAGTGGCCAAAACCAACATCAATATGTATCTGAATCTTACAATCAGGAGCATCACAAAATATTTCACTTGGCACATGCAGTAAGAGAGGTTATGGAAATATCTGTAGCTTTTAGAACAAAAACATGTAAGTATAAACACAAATAAAATAGAACTCATTACTCTGTTTAAGCACTAAACACCGACGTTGTCACTCAATGTGTGTTGACAGTATTCTCTTGCTTTATTAATATCATCAGGGCCTGGTTTATTTTAAAAGGAATGTTAATTTTTAAAAAGAGAAAATTACAATATTGTATATAATGTATACACAAAGAACTCTGTAGAAATATTATTCCAACTTAGCAGGAAAAAAAAAATCAGAAGTATCGGACCATTGGAGGTGAGTGTGTGTGTGTGTCTGTAACTTCGTGAATACTGACTGTGTGACGTTTATTAGGTTTAAACCATGCAGTACATTCTTTGTCTCAATGATACTGTAGTTTCTCCCATAACATTTTTTTTTTACTTTACTGCAGATAACAAGACCAACCAAGTGAATATAGCTATTTAATGTTTCTGTTCTTTTATACTGCAGCAAAAATGTACTGTAAATTTATGAAGAGGCTGTGCCCCAATGGCATTTTCCAATGATGTTAGTGCACAAATGCTTTAAACTAGACTGGAACTGCCAGAATAAAATGTAAATGAAGAATTTCTTGTATAACCTTATACTGCATGAGATCAATTTTTAATAAATTGTTGCAAATCTGTTTTTATGAATAAAATATATAAAAATCTAGCTTTTTGGACTCAGTGCCCTCTTCCCCCACAGCAAAATAATTTTTAATGTGTATGTGTGTGTGTGTGTGTATATCTAAACATACAGATATATAAAACCTCCCCAGAGAAGAGGATTCCTGTTACACCACATTGTAATAAAAAGTCAAAATATGCATCCTAGTAGTTGAAACAGATAGATGAGCTTCACAGAATCACAGAATATTAGGAGT